GGTATTTTTGAAACATTAGTGAACAAGCTCCCGTGGTTGTGTAAGCCAACAAGCCCTGCAGCGCGGGAGGGATCATCCCTCGTTAGGTGGTAAGGGCTGTACAGGGAAGGAAAAGCGGGTGGGGCAGGGAGGGCCGGCAGGTGGGGAGGGCCTGCGCGGGAGGAGAGGGGCAGCGGGGAGTGTCTGAAGCGGGAGCCGGCCTGGGGGTGCCTGTGGCCAGGCCTGCAGTGAGAGAGCATGGAGGTTCCTGTGACTGAGCTGGTGGCGGTATGGAAGCTGTGTGGACAGGCCCTGCTTTTTTTTTTTCAGTCCTCACCCGAGAGTCCGTTTTTTATGGGTTTTAGGAAAGGGACACAGAAATGTCACTTGTGCCCTGACCAGGAATCCGACCCAAGCCCCTTGGTGCCCAGGATGATGCTCCAGCCAGCTGAACCCGGGCCTGGGGACAGGCCCTCTGTCGTAGCTGAACCCCAGCCGGGGCCACGTCCTCTGGTGTAGGCTTTCCCCCCACAGTCCTGTAGGGACTCTGGTTTTCCTCTGAACTTGGAAGCTCTTGGAGGATTGGAGCAGAGAGTGGATTGGTAGATGTTAACCCCGCATCCTGATGGCCCCGTGGAGCATTTACCGTGGGGGAGTGTGGAGGGGTTGGGGGCCCATGGGGGCAGTTGCAGTGGTCAGCGAGGGACATGCTGGCGGTAGCTGTGCCACATGGTAGCCGAGGTGGTGGCCAGCGTGGGCAAATTTAACACGTTGGAAAAGACAGAAAACGGGTAATGGTTTAACTCCATTCATTCTGGTTTTCTTGGTGTTAGTTTTCTGCTGTCACCCTAAGACGATGTGTTTTATTTTCCTGGCTGCTTTTAAGGTTTTCTTGTTGACTTTGTTTTTTGGGGGTTCTGACTGATGTTTGAGATCCATCGTTTTTATCATGCTGAGGCTTGAGGAGCTTTCCATGTTTGCTAGGGACTCGTGTCTTAGTAGCTTTGGAAAATATTATTCTTCAGACATGATGGCTGCTTCATTTTCTCTGCTTCTGTCACTCAGTTAGATGTATGGTATATTACATTAGACCCTTTCACCATCTTTTACAGATTTTTCGTATTTTTCTCTACTTTCTCTGGGATGTCGTGTGCTTCTATATGTATGTTTTCAGCTCACCAATTCTCACTTTTGCTCAAATTGAACTACTGTATTCTTTTTAAAATATATATTTTATTAATTTTTTTACAGAGAGAAAGGGAGATGGATAGAGAGTTAGAAACATTGATGAGAAAGAAACATCGATTCAGCTGCCTCCTGCTCATGTTTGCTAGGGACTCATGTCTTAGTAGCTTTGGAAAATTCGTTATTATTCTTCAGATACATCACCTGGTTGATGTATCCACTGGGGATGTGCCTGCAACCATGGTACATGCCCTTGACTGGAATCCACTCTATCCACTGAGCCAAACCAGTTAGAGCTGAACTACTGTATTCTTAATCTCAGTGATGATGCTTTCAGGTCTGGAGTTTTTATTGGACTCTTAAGAATCCTAGGACTTTGCTGAAATTCCCCATCTCTTGAGGGTTTTTTTTTTTGTTTGTTTTTTTCCTTGGACGTATCAGTCACAGTTATTTTAAAGTCTCTCAGATAACTCCAACATGTGAATGGCCAGTGTGTCTTTTTCTAGTTTTTTATTTCTCATGGTTGTCCATTTACTCACTTTTTTAAAAACTCAAATTAAATTTGTCATTTTAACCCTTTAAAGTATATAATTCTGTGGTTTTTGGTATAGTCATAGCTCGGTGCACCGGTCATCCCTACCCGAAATTCTAATATCCCAGACTGGAGTTGGCTGTCAATGGCTGCTGGTGTCCCAGCAACAAGTCTGCAGCCTGTGCTTTGTCTCTGGCTTTACCTTTCTGGAACTTTCATGTAAATGGGGTTGTACGTGTGTGGTCTTTTGAGTTCGGCCTCTTTCACTGCTCATAGTGTTGTCCAGGTTTGTGTTGTAATATGTGTCAGTCCTTCGTTCCGGTGTGTGACTGATGACTATTGGTATGGATATAGACAGCATCTTTTGTTGTCCATCATCAGTTGATGGCCATGTATCTTTTCCCCTCTACTTATGTTGGCTATTATGAATAACTAGAGGCCCGTTGCATGAAATTCGTTGGGGGCGATCAAGCCTGCAGTTGGAGTGATGGTCAGTCTGATCTTGTATGTTGGAGTGATGGTCAGTCTGCATATTACTCTTTTATAATATTAGATAGGATAGAGGCCTGGTGCATGGGTAGGGGCCAGCTGGTTTGCCCTGAAGGGTGTCCTGGATCAGGGTGGGGCTTCCTTTGGGGGGTGGGGTGGGCTGGGCGAGGGGCCTGTGGTGGTTTGCAGGTCAGCCACGCCCCCGGCGACCCAAGTGGAGGCCCTTGGTGTCTGGGATTTATTTATCTTCTATAATTGAAACTTTGTAGCCTTAAGCAGAGGCCAAAGCAAGCCAGGGCTGCAGATGCTTAGCTTCCTACATGGCCGCGGGTAACTCGAGCCTTCTGCTCTCTCCAGCTCCATGGCTGCTGCCATTTCTGTTGGGATTTATTTATCTTCTATAATTGAAACTTTGTAGCCTTGAGTGGAGGCTGGGCCGGCCAGGCTGTGTGGAAAGCTTGGCTTCCTCCATTTGCCAGAGAAACACAAGCCTCCTGCTCGCTCCGCTCCTGGCTGTAGCCATCTTGGTTGGGTTAATCTGTATACTCGCTCCTGATTGGCTGGTGGGCATGGCTGGTGGGTGTAGCGGAGTGATGGTTAACTTGCATATTACTCTCTTATTAGGTAGGATGCTGCCGTGACATTGTGTACAAGTTGTATGTGAGTGTATCTCTTCAGTTCTCTTGGATCTATACCTGGATCACATGGTAGCTCTGTGACTTTCTGAGGAATTGCCCAATGGTTTACACAGCGCTGCCCCAGGTACAATCCCAATAACGTGGACGAGAGTTTCGCTTCCTCCACAGCTGCCCGTACTGTTACTTCCTGCAGTTTTTTAAATTGTTAGAAGCATCCTAATTGGGCCGACCACTTGTGCCTTGTAGTTCCTAACTGAATGCCAGGCATTACGAATGAGCAGTTGTAGGGATTCTATTTGCTATTTTCCTCTGAGAGTTAAGTTTTACTTTGGTAGGCGAAGCACTAGGGATCCCCCCGAGCCTTTTGAGGGTTCACTATAAAACGTTTTAGGGTTGAGCTATTTCAGTTTTGACCTTCATCTGTGGGAAGGCTGTTTGGACATCTCAGGAGAGCATGCGTTGTTCATGGAGGCCCTTCTACCTGGGTGGGGCCTAAACCGCAGCCTCTGCCCCTCATCCTGGGCAAAGCTAACCCCGCCCCCCGTACCTCCCCCTCCCGCCCCCCCCCACTCCCCCGGCTCTTTAGTCTCTGGCTCTCTGGTCCCCAGACTGTCTTCCACTCAGTGCCGGGAGCCTGCCACTTGCCCCAGGGCCTCCACACTTTCCCATCACACTGCCGGGGGGAGAGCCGGGGGGAGAGCCGGGGGAGGGGTGGGGGGGGTGGGAGGGGGGGAGGGAGCCGGGCCGGGACAGCTGGGATCCTAAGCTGAATTGGGCTTCCCTTTCCAGTCCATCTAGATAACCTTATTGGCAGAGGGTTAGATGGAAGCCCTCTTACTATGACGGGAACTGCAATACTTATGTTTTATGAATCGAATCACAGGAAAGTGAAAATTGATACCTATTGAGAGGGAGAACATGAATTTTCAATAGGAAATTCGGACATGACAATAGGAGGAAGGATTTTTATTCTCAAGTGAGGGTCCAGGTCAGCCATGTTTGAAAGCTGATAAAGGATGCTTTAAAATGAAGAGTATGTGACACTGAGTTGATATTTGGTAACCTTTTTGAAAATTGAGCAAGATCAGTAGGTGCTGAAGCATTTACGGTGAGCACTGAGAGGAAAGACTGACGGAACTGCCTTCTGTGTGGCCGGGTCGTGACGGGCCGGGCGGTGAGTGGTGAGTGCTGTGGGAGCAGCGCTGGCCGTTGGGCACATACGTGAGTGGCCGTCACTGAGGTCGGAGGGCCGAGTGCCCATGCGGTGGCCGAACCCCAGCTCTCTGGGGGCTGTGTGCGCGGGGTCTGGCTGAGGGGAACTGGAGGCAATGGGGTGACTGCACAGGAAGAGACGAAGGGCATAGAGAAGTAGAGAAGGAAGGCTGCCATCGACCTGTCCCCCTGCTCAGAGGGGGCTGCAGAGACTGACCATTTGCTCCCCATCACAGCGTCCCGAGAAGGCGGCAGGTGGTCTGTCTCCTTCGCCCTTGGCGAACTCTCAAGGTTAGGCGATTCCTCCGCAGCCATTAGGCCGGCTGCCAGAGGCTCCTTCGGAGGCAGCTGTCTCTCCCCCGGAGGCCGGCAGCACCGCTCCGATCTGGGGAGGGGGGGGCGCAGCGGGCTGGGCGGACGGCTCATCAGAGGCTGGGCGTTTAAAGCTGCCCCCCAAACCTCCCCCCCTCCAGCACAGGGAGTGTATTACATTTTGGGTCTTCTGGTTCTTGAATAACTTCTTGTTACTGTTTTTTCTTTCCAGGTAAAATTCATCATTAATAGTGAACACATCTAAATATATTTATAATGAAAGGAGACTTAATGTTTAAAACAATTTAAACAACAACAGTGGACACATTGGAGATCCTTACACATAATAAATGGAAATGGTTTTTGGATAGAATGTTAGAATTTTTATTTTCATCCCTGGGATTTTATAAACTAATATATACTGTTATTGTGTTCCTGTGGTCTGAGGTGGACAGGCGATGTGTTCACGCCAACGATGGTGTGAAGTGTTGCGCGTATGTTAAATATGTTAATAAGCCCATGACAAAACGCTCTGAAATAAGTGGAAATGCACTGTTTTTGCCCCAGTTAGTAACACAGGCCACTGCGGTCCCACGTGCCCTCTCCTGTGTCACGTCTAACAGCTCCTCCCGTTTCCTAAACTGTCTCCGCAGCCGCCCACGCAGAACATGCCTCTGGGCCCCGGAGGGATGAACCCGGGCGGCGCCCCGCCCCCTCCGCGCGTGCACAACATGCCTTCAGATGGGATGGTCGGCGGGGGGCCCCCTGCGCCCCACATGCAGAACCAGATGAACGGCCAGATGCCGGGTAAGGGTTTCTCCTCCAAGACATTAACACCAGAGTTGCTTAGCAACCGGAACGACATGGGGGCTCCAGGGACCCTAGATTGTTGATGACAAAACTGCTCCGAATGCCCCCGAGTGCAGGCGCTCGGAGTTTGTTAGCTGCCGAGCTACGTGACCTGTATTCAGTGTTCACCAGGCCGCCCGGGGCTCCGGCTGGCACGCAGGCGCCTCTGATGCACAGAGCTGCTAAATTTAGGCCTGGCCCGGGCAGGGGGCTGGCTGGAGGAGCTTCTGGAAGAAAAGGCATTGTGCGTGGCTGAGGCATCGAGGCCTGTGTAGGAAAAGGCGTCCTAACGCTCGCCTGCGTTTTGTTAGAAATGTGCTGGTCTCAGAACCAGGGACCCTGGGCACACGGGGAAGAACAAAGCCGGGTGCAGGCCGAGCAGCAGCGCCTCCCTGTGCTGGGGGAGCGGGCTCAGGGGTGCGCGTGGTCACTCACACACACACACACACACACACACACACACACACTCACTCACACACACACACACACACACACACAACACACACACACACACACACACACACTCACTCACACACACACACTCACACACACACACAACACACACACACACACACACACTCACTCACACACACACTCACTCACACACACACACACACACACTCACACACACACACACACACACACACACACACACACACACACACACACGGACGTTGATATTAAAGCCAGGGTAAAAGCTGAGCAAGAATGTCAGTTTTCTTTCGCCGGGAGCCATCCTTTGCTGTTTGCTCGTGGTAAGTTCAGAGGCTCTTGGGATATATTTCCGGCCACTGGTGCTTATTTAGTTCCCTGTTGCTGCTTTGAATTTTTCATCTGAGTGGTATCTTTAAACTATTTTGTTTTATAACAGTCACAACCCATGACCATAATTTTTGGTGGGGTGTTTTCTACAGTAAATACGAGAATATTTCTACTTTCTAATGACAAAGGTTATTTTCATTAACAAAGTGTCATACAAATGTCAATAATGAAAGTAAATTCAAGTAACAGAATACTTTACTTTTAAAATGAATAATTAGCCTCCTTAGGACAGCGTCCTCTGAGCCGGCTGTGTTGGTGGGCAGCTTTGGTGACCAGGGTGAGGGGCAGGCGAGGAATTAGAAGGGCAGCGAGCGGCAGAGGCGGCAGCCTGGTCCGTAGAGGCCGATGGGCTGGGGCAGGTGGCCCCGGCTGCTGCTGTTTCCTGCCACAGCCAGGCCCACGCAGTGCCAGGGAGGAGGGGCGGGCAGGAGGAATGTTTGTGCTGATCCACACTTAGTTCATCAGGACCCGTGTGGAAAACGGAGAGGCAGCGAGTTAGAAGTGTTGTGATTTATTTTATTTTTAATTAGGATTTGACCTAACTTTTTCGTATAACAGTCAAGCCTTACTTCTGAAGGAGCAGTTGGGTGGCAGTGTGATTGCCGTTAGCGTGTGCTCTGGTTTGTGTGCGAGGCGCCTGGAGCAGAGACAGTCTCTCAGCCGGAGGCGTCAGCTGGTTGTGACCCGGCTGGCCAGAACGCTGCAGATCTTCCAAACAGCGGCTGCCAGAGAGCTGTGGTCAGTGTGGGAGCAGCTACCAGTCCCATTACCTGCGTTTCTTTATTTAATAAGTTCTTCTATTTTTATTTTTATTTTTTTATCTTTATTTTTAGTTTCTTTTTTTTATTTTTTTATTTTGTTTATTTATTTATTTATTTATTTATTTATTATTTAATAAGTTCTTCTATTTTTATTTTTATTTTTTATCTTTATTTTTAGTTTCTTTTTTTATTTTGTTATTTTGTTTATTTATTTATTTATGTATTTATTTTTTATTTAATAAGTTCTATTTTTATTTTTATTTTTTTATCTTTATTTTTAGTTTCTTTTTTTGTTTTTTTGTTTTGTTTATTTATTTATTTATTTTTTATTTAATAAGTTCTTTAGAGCATTTATCCAACTCTTCTGTTCACACAGACTCATATCTAGGCTTTTACTATTTTAGTTTCGTTTTCAGTATTTTATCTAAGCTGCAGAACTATTTATATGCTGCTTGTTCTCAGTCAGATAACCTCTCAGCCTCAGGTTTCTTTGTTAAAATTTAACTGATTTTAAAAAAGAGTAGGTAGATCTGGTAGCGGGATCAGAAGGTGCGAGAGGCAGCCTCTGCCTCCAGACACTCGGTGCCGGGTCATGGGCGTCCGGTGTCCGTCAGCAGGTGCTCTCTGTGTGAACCTCTCCTTGTTTCAGACATTAGGCGTTTACGTGTCACTTGTTCCCCTCCGAAAGGTGTGTCTTAGCGGTCCCGAGAACATACAGGCCTCTTTTAGACAGCACTCGGTATATAGCGGCGCCTCCTTCTTTTCGGTGAGCCACTGCATTCCTTTTTTAAGGATGCCTCCAGTATGTGAGCCGTTCCCTTCTGGTAGAAATACAGGTTATTCTTTTAGTATTAAAAATTATACTGCTGCGAATATGTAAAATACAAGAAAATAATAAACATACAATTTTGTGTGTATACACACATGCACACAAAAGAGCTTGTTTATTTATAAGATGAACTGGAGGCCCAGTGCATGTAATTTGTGCACAGGTAGGGTCCCTAGTGGCTGCCAGCTGCTGGCGGGGGCCTCCCTTTCCGCGCCGCCCCCTGGTGGTCAGCGCATGTCATAGTGAGCAATCAAACTCCCGGTTGGTTGAACTCCTGAGGAGACACTTTGCATATTAGGCATGCATATATATATATATATATATATATATATATATATATATATATACACACACACACACACACACACACACACACACACACACATATTTATATATTTATATATTTATATATTTATTTATTTTCCTAGAACTGAAATTGCTGAGTTAAAGTTTATATGCATTTTCATGTATATATTCCCTAAACAATGCATGAAGGAACTTCATAATAGTTGGGTCAAAACTTTTATCTTTGCCAATCTGAAAGATGGAAGATGGGTTTCATAGTTTTAACTTGCCTTTTTTATATTATAAGCAAAGCAAACAGTCTGCTATGTTTATGGCCTCCAGTTTCTTTTGTGTGAGAAGGTCATTCATGTCCTTGGCCCTTTCATTTACTGCTGGTGGTGTGTTACTAGTTTGGTCTGTGATAGGACTTATTAGAACATTTTCCCAGTTTATATTTGTATTATTTAGTAATTTTGGTTTGTATTGGTCTTGTTCAAATTTTTTATTTTCATATAGTCTAATTTATCAATCTGCATGACTGCATTTCCTGGCAAACTTAAGAAGGCCTTTCCATTTAATTATTTTTAAAAAATTTCCTTTCTAAAATTTTCTTTTATGGTTTCTTTTCCTTCCTTCTTTTTTAGTGTTGAATTTTTTAGTCATCTGGAATTAGTCTTCATGGAAGTAATGTGGTAGGGCTCAACTTGGTTTTTCCAGGCAGCTACTCAGTTGTCACAACATCTTTTACTGAACCCTCTTTCTTTTGTCCACCGGTACTTAGTATCACCATTATAATTATTTACTGAATTAGCATTTGGGTCCCTTTTTAGACTCTGCTCTGGGTTTATTGATCTTTTAGTTTATTTATTGGCTAATGCTACAAATATTTAAAAAAAAAATGAAATTTAACTTTAAAAAAATATTTTTATTGGTTTCAGAGAGGAAGAGAGAGGGAGATAGAAACATCAATGATGAAATAGAATCATTGATCGGCTGCCTCCTGCACACCCCCTACTGGAGATCAAGCCCACAACCCGGGCATATGCCCTTGACTAGAATCAAAGCTGGGACCCTTCAGTCTGCAGACCGACGCTATATCCATTGAGCCAAACCTGCTAGGGCGAATGCTACACACTTTTAATTCCATTGGCTTTTTTTTTTTTGTTCTCATAAAATTAGTCCTCTCTGGTTTCTCTTTTTCAGGATGTTTTCGGCTTTTCAAAAGAATTAGTTTCTTAGTCTGTAAAATGGGAATAACAACATTCACTTCACAGTATCTGCTCTCATGTAAAGCATTTTCCTAGTTTACTATTGATTAAATACTGAAGTTACTGTTTGTTATTATTACTATGGTAATGCACTCCCCTCCCCTCAAAAAAAAATGCTAAGGTCCTTCATGCAAAGCCTGTGTTTAACTTTCGCATTTTGGTTTTGACCACTTTCTTAAAGGGACCAACCATATGCCTATGCAGGGGCCGGGGCCCAGCCAGCTCAACCTGACCAACAGCTCCATGAGCATGCCCGCCAGCAGCCACGGGTCCATGGGCGGCTACAGCCACGCGGTGCCGTCCTCCCAGAGCGTGCCGGTGCAGAGCCAGATGACCATGAGCCAGGGCCAGCCCATGGGGAACTACGGCCCCCGGCCGAACATGAGCATGCAGCCGAACCAAGGTAACGAGCTGTGTGTGCGTGCGGCAGAGACTCTGAGGAGAAAGCAGCGCTTTCAGGCTGTTGACTGATGTAGAACAGTCTAGGTTGGATGTGAGCAGCAATGAAAAGGAATGTTGAGTTTGAAATTAGCTTAAAATACGTTTATTTCTTACATTTAGAAATTAAATTGCTTAATCTTTTTATGTAAGCTTACTTATTTTTATGTCTTTGATAGTTTATTTGAGATTCTGTGTTTTTGGATTTTTTTGTAAGAAAAGTTAATGAATAATTTGAACGCTAATCAACGAAAGCTTTAGAGCTAAAAAATTGAGAAAATAGGATTTTATTGTTGTAAGTACAACCCCTAACAATTCACCTACTCTCTGGTTCATTTTACCTGGTAAGGATATGTTAATTTGTATGGATTTCCCTTGATTTACATGGATGTCTTCTGATGCCGAGCTTCAGCATTTACAGATAATTGTCACATAATTTGTTATTACAGCATCAGTGGAGGTGCCACCCTGTTCTTGTGTTAGATGGCGTGAGGTCTATTAGCGTTTATGACAGGCTCAGAGAATGGGATTGTTACCCTGTTCCTCGTTTAGGTATTCTTGTGCATAATAGCTGGAAACCGGTAAGCGGCGCTCTGTTCTGCTAATTGCCCGTTAAGCATTTGGCATGTTGCCAGCCTAAAGCTTTCTCAATTATGAAATGTGGTGAGGTTACGAGTTTAAGATAGATTTAATGTATTTGCAATAAAATTTTCTAGATTTTGATTACGATAAATCACTAAAGTGAATTCAGATAAAGGAAGTCAGTGTTAATCTGTTGACAATTCTTTGTGATGAAATAATATATTCTAAATTTTAAATATTAATACAAGATATTTTTTGTAACTTCGATGAGACATACTGAAAACAAAGGGAGACAATAGATAAATTGTCAGTGAAAGTAGCTGCACAAAACTGGTGCCTGCTTTATTTTTATCTCCCAAGTGCAGTGCCAGGATGGAACATTGCTCCCTTCTCTTAGGTCAGTTAGGTCAGTGGAGATCAGACATCTCTCCATACAGCTGGCAGCCAGGAGACAGCACGAAGTCGATAGTGATTCTGACAGCAGCTGCAGAAGGTGGACGGCTCCTCAGAAGCCGAGTGTGCAGACAGGAAATGGAGGTGGTTGCAGTATAGTTGCTGTGATGTAAGATTTGAAGAAGAAAATAATGGGTGTAGGAGAATAGTTATTGTTTTTGGAGAAAGGAGTTGTATTCATAAGAATTGTTCATTTCAAACTAAGGACCAACTATTCTTTTAAAAAAATGTCATCTTTTGTACTAATGTGTAGTTTTTTCTTTTACTATAATTGTTACATTATTTTTTTGTTTTGTTCCCATAAATGACATTTTGTAATAGAAGACTTCAGAAAATGATTATCTAGGGATTTGATTTAAAGAAATATAAGTTACTTTTCAAAAGAGAGATTAGGATGGAAATAAGTGAAGAAATTTTCAATGTATTAAAAAATCTCTTCAGTAATAATAGAATACTTTCAGTTAAGTTTTGATACTTTAGAATCAAAGAAAATTATCCTATATAATAAAGAGGTAATATGCAAATTAATGCCCACACCCTTACAAGATGGCTGCCTACAACCAGGCCAGTGAGGTGAGTAGTGGACGACCAAACAACTGATCAGCAGACTGTGTGGGGCGACCAGGCTGGCAGGGGTCCGTGAGGGGCAACCAGGCTGGTAGGGGGGGTAGTTGGGGTGACCAGGCCAGCGGAGGGGGCAGTTGGGGGCCACCAGGCCAGCAGGGGGGACAGTGGGAGGTGATTAGGCTGGTGGGCGGTGGGGGGAAGGGTAGTGAGGGGCGGACTAGGCCAGCAATGGGGGGGAAGGGTGCAGTTAGGAGCAACCAGGTTGGCAGGGGGGCAGTAAGAGGTGACCAGGCAGGCAGGCAGATGAGTGATTAGGAACCAGCAGTCCAGGATTGTGAGAGGGATGCTCCAGATTGGAGAGAGTGCAGGCTGTGCTGAGGGGACTCCCCCGCTCCCGTGCATACATTTCATGCATTGGGCCTAGTTCTATATAATAAAAGCCTAATATGCTAAGTGTTTAACCATTCAACCAGTTGCTATGATATGCACTGACCACCAGGGGGGCAGACGCTCTGACTGATAGGTTAGCTTGCTGTCGGGGTCAGGCCAATCAGGACTGGGTGAGAAGGGCCAGAAACGCCCTGAGCCAACCTCCTGAGGTCCCTCCTCAGCCTCTAAAATATTCCTTCTAATTAATTTCATTTTAGTGTGTACAAATCCGTGCACTAGGCTTTTAGTGTGATAACAGATTTTTGTGTTCCTCTTTAAGATGTTAATGTTATTTGTAAACAAGATTGAATGTGTGTTTTGTGTTTTTCCAGGTCCAATGATGCACCAGCAGCCTCCTTCCCAGCAGTACAACATGCCCCAGGGCGGCGGGCAGCACTACCAGGGTCAGCAGCCGCCCATGGGGATGATGGGCCAGGTCAGCCAAGGCAATCACATGATGGGCCAGAGGCAGATGCCGCCCTACAGACCGCCCCAGCAGGGTAAGAGCCCAGCGGACGTGTCCTGCTTCAGAGAAATAACAGTGGGTGGGAGGCTCTCCATTTAATGAACTTCATCCAGGCAAAGTTAGGGCTTTTATTTCCAGACTAGAGGCCCGGTGCACGCATTCATGCACGGGTGGGGTTCCTTGGCCTGGCTGGCGATGGGGGCTGTCTCACCCAGTCCCACTCGGGGCAGAGCAGGGCCAGCCACCCTGTGGGAGGGACTGCGGGAGGTTGGCTGTGGGAGTACATGACTACCAGGGGGCAGCTCCTGCATTGAGTGTCTGCCCCCTGGTGGTCAGTGTGCATCATAGTGACGGGTCATAATGACTGCTTAGGCTTTTGAGTGTGTGTGTGTGTGTGTGTATTTTTTAAATACACCCCACTATATATTTTTTTTCCCGAGAGGTAGTGGATATAAAGGGTTATAAATTGGATAGAAACTTCCTGGTATTCAGCTTTCCTTTAATCTTTTCTGGGAAAAGATTACATCATAAAATTTTACATCAAAAGCTCATTTGCAGCAGAAAATACCATTTATTTTTGAGTATGTACTAAATATATGGTCAGAAACAAACCCTCATTTATTTTAAACTGCTCTAATATAAAAATAAAAATAAGGAAATTAATTTCCTAGTAGTTTGACTCTTTTTAAGAAGCTAGTGTTTGTGTTTTTGAGTTGATAATTGCTTGGTACTGCATATATGGTCTTAGCAACAGTTATTGTGAAATGTGGTGTTGGTGTGTGTTTATGTACGTGTGTGCATGAGCATAGGGAGAAGTGCATGAACGCCGGAGCAGGGAGGGGCCTGGGCAGCAGAGAAGTGCACTCCGGTGACATCATCGGAGGAAGCCTGTGGTGCTGAGAGCCTGTTGTGATGCCTCGCCCGTTGTGGTTTCAGGCCCGCCCCAGCAGTACTCGGGCCAGGAGGACTATTACGGGGACCAGTACAGTCACGGCGGACAGGGGCCTCCGGAAGGCATGAACCAGCAGTATTACCCTGACGGTAATCTCCCTAACGCCCGCTTCCCATGCCTGTGGCCCCCTCCCCCTCTGTCCTCGCAGGAAGCTCCCAGCATGCCTTGGGGCTGAAGAAACTGCCGATAGGCTGCCTCTCCGTTAGGACCCCGCCGCCTCAGCACCAGGGCTGCGGCTCTCCGTGTCATCCATTGTGTTAGAGTCCCACAGCACTGCCGCCGGGTCCTTTCCTTTATAGAAGAGGATCCTTTCATGTTGGTTTCTCTGAACCAAAACTGACGTTATCGATTTGCTTTCCTAAATAACGGCTTTATTTAGTTCATATACCATAAAGTGTCTGTTGGCTTACTTTTATGCATTGTATAAATGCACAGACTTCCTCAAGGTTTTTTGTTTCATCATTTTAGTTGATGCTGCATACTCTTAAAGAGCTATGGTTTGTATACAGCAGCATTTGCATTTGAGGAAAAGTTTGGAGGCTAAATTACACCCAGAATATAGTTGTATGTGGAGTTATGGAAGAGGAAAGGTGTTTAGAAAACAGATTTCGTTCTAGGTGTTCGGTTTAACGGTGAGGTGTTCAGAGGGAGGCTGCACTGAGGGTGGCTAGTAAAATGGCCTGACTTGGTGGCCCGCCAGCTCCCGGGCCTGTCGCTGCCCGCTCAGCTTGCACAGCTTCTGTCTGGCCAGCTCGCAGTGCAGAATGAAGAGGAAGGATCCCCTCACACAGCGGGCCCCTCAGTGGTTCCCGAGCCACAGAGGGTTGTCTGGTTATGCAGGGACTTGCCGAAGTCCTCACTGACGTAGTCAGCTCCCGGGGTGTGTTCGAGGCCAACCACTTCAGAAGAGAAATGAGGGAGCTAAGAACTGACAGCTGAAGTGTTGGAGCCAAAGCAGACGACAAGAAGATATCACTTGGTTATTGAAGAAGTCACTTTGCTGCCATTTTTATCTGTGTGAATCCTGAAGGCACGTCATGGCAGGACGTGGGCTCACCGGAGGCTTTGCCAGGCAGGCCAGCAGCACTCACCTGCAGAGCTAGCTGCACACGGCACCCGTGTTAGTGGGAACGTGTGGGTGATTCTGGTTAGAAATGCCCCGAATTATTCAGTGTTGTTTTTAGTTTTATATGAAGACACTGTATTAAGTAATTTCTTAGACTATAGATGTTTTAAAAAGGTAAAATCTAGGTTCTTTAATTTTATTAGGAAATTTGCTGAATATAAATGATTGGTGTGTTTAATTTTTAAAATGTATTTTAAGTAATTGAGTTGAATTTGGGACTGTTAGTTTGGTTGGTCCTGAGTATGTTCTGAAGTGTGAAATTTGTATTGTTATAAATAGGACCTTTCTATACAAAATAGATGTTTTTGTAAATATCAGAACTTTAAAGTTCTATTAATAATACACCCTATTTCATTGGGATTTCAAATGTTATCCGGTATCATTTTGCATAAGTGTGTGTTAATATGTTTGTCTGACATTTACGTAGATTCTTTGTTCCATTTACAATGACTAATTCTCTTAGACATCATTGGATATTTTCTTACTCTGTTTATTTTTTATTTTTTAAAAATATTTTTATTGATTTCAGAGAGGAAGGGAGAAGGAGAGATAGAAATATCAATGATGAGAGAAAATCATTGGTTGGCTGCCTCCTGCACACCCCACACTGGGGAAGGAGCCTGCAACCCAGGCCGGTGCCCAGGCCAGGAAATGAACGGTGACCCCCTGATTCATAGGTTGATGCCTGTCCACTGAGCCACCCCAGCCGGCTCTGACTCTGTTTGGATATTTATGCAGTAACATGAGATTGGGAGCTGGCATACTTTTCCTCTAAAGAGCCGGAGAGAAAACCTTTCCATCTTTGTGTGCCACGGGCTATTGATCTCAGCCACTGGACTCGTGTCGCAGCATGAAAACAGCTCTAACTGTAAGCAGGCAGGTGGGCTCAGACTGCAGGCCGGTTCGCTGACCCTCCATCCAGATATCGATGAGATGGTGTAGGAACATGGCTACTAGAGCCCTGAGTACGGCACTTACTCATAACTGTGCTTCTCCTTCCTGAGTTAGGGGTCCACTGAATTGTAGCTCAGACCTTCGCCAGCTGAAAGGGTAGTCCTACATTTCTTTGTGCAATTTAATTCAAAGGCCTAGAGGATCGATTTTCACTAAACTCTAGTCATCTTCAGGCCAAATTCATCATGCCTTAGCAGTAAAGGTGTGCTCTGCTCGATACAATATTAACTTCATGAAGGTGTATGTTTATGTCACCATGGAAACATTATCTGTGGGCCTCTAGAATGGCAGCAGTAAGCTTTATATTTCACATCTAGAAATACTTTGAGATACTATGTTTTATTCAAGTAAATAGAGTGTGAAAAATTTGTCTCAGTTTTTTTCAAGGGAAATTTAGGAGCTCTTTTGTGTTAATATTTCACAGTTTTTAGCGTATGCTGCGGCATGGGCACCCAGAACTGGTGTTTGACACAGTATGATGATTGTTTCCTTTGTGTACTGGAATTTAATTCAAGTTATTTAAAAAAAAGAAAGATAAAAGGTTTTTTCTCTCCTTTATGAGGATTATCAGAGTTAAGACTACGGGTAATGTTTTTAAAACTGCTGTTTTTTGCTTTTAAGAAAATTTGCAAGTTGTCTTGATATGAAAACAATCACATTGGTAAATATTTGGCTAATGCAATTGAAATTATTTTTTATGTATTTCCATTTCTTTTTTTTCCAGTTTTATCTGCAAGTTTAAATATATTTAGGGTTTTCACTCAGTGGCCATTAACGTTTCTCCCTGTCTCTTGTCGAATTGATGTAGGTCATAATGAGCACGGTTATCAGCAACCGTCGTATCCTGAGCAAGGCTACGATAGGCCTTACGAGGATCCCTCACAACATTACTACGAAGGAGGTATCGCCATACCTTCACACGCACACACACGCCCCCGCAGGCGCCCGGCTCTGGAGAGCGCAGCTGCTGGCTGTCTCATGACGGAGCCGGACAGCCAGAATCGCTTCCTTACAGACATGTACAACCTGTAACCGTGACCTGCCCTTCCTAATAACAGTGAAAAGACTAAAACATTTACCAACAATTGCTTCCTCCGCGGATGTTTTCTGTCGGAACACAAACCCAGCTCCAGTGTCGTGTGTGTCCCCGTGTATGGTCTCACCACAGTGTAGTGCCTTAGGCAGCAGCTTGCTGACCGTGTGTAGCTAGTGTGTGCTCTCGTAGTGTCTTTAATTTTGTCTTTTTATTTCATTTAGCGTAGTCATGCTCTCTGACTGGCGTTCCAGTCAGTGTAATGCTCGTATGCAGAGGCGCTGGGAATGCTGCAGTTGAACCTTGCAAATTGGCTTTAACTGCAGTGTGTTTGGCCGAAACCCTTCTGTTTGGTTTGAGTTTTTTCTTTGTTTTGTTAACTTTTAAAAATCAGTATGGCATTTGATTTCGTTCTTGTGTTGTTGGCTCTGCAGCTTAGAGGAAAGAGTTCCTTGAGCACACTCTCAGTTCCCCTCTCCCGTCCCCGCAGGAAGCTCCCAGTACGGCCAGCAGCAGGAGGCCTACCAGGGCCCGCCACCCCCGCAGGGCTACGCGCCCCAGCAGCAGCAGTACGCGGGCCAGCAGGGCTACGCCGGCCAGCAGCAGGCCTACGGTGAGCGCCCTCCGTCCTCTGAAGGTCACGTCTGCCTCCGTCCATCAGTGTCTAGACCAAGTGTTCCTAGATAAACTACAATCTACTTAGAGAGAAACGGAGACGAGGGAGGCTCAGTCAGCATAGGGATGCCTGGAGTCACGCACAGGGCAGGACAGGAACCCGGGACCTCTGTGCTCACAGCCACGCCGGCTCCGCCTGGGCCTGGACCCTGAGGGAGCGGCTGTTCGCCGCCCTCGTCCACATGGTCCAGTGAGCAGCTTGGTTTCCACCACTGGTGACTGTTTGAACTGTTCTTAGTTTTCTGAGGAACCGCCGGACTGCCTTCCGTGGTGCTGTGCAGTCTGGTTCCCATGGCGGTGAGCGAGGCCCTCTCTCTGCACCTCCCCCCTGGCTGCGCTGGCCTTGTGAGAACAGCCCCTCCACAGGCACCGGCGGGTCTCACTGTAGCTCTGATTGCAGATGTAAACCTCCATTTCACATCCAGGTCATTCCTTTGGCTCTGCTGACTGTGGCGAGCACACCAGCGCTCTACAGCTGCAGACACACTGACTCCCAGACGTTCAGAAATGGGTCCCGTATTTTAGTTCGAACCTGCTTCTCGCCTTTTCTCTCACCTCTTGCTTACACTGGTCACTTCCTCATTAAACAGGTGCTTTTCTGAGCACAGACAGATGACTGCCCTTAGCGTGGAGTGAGCCTGCCTTCCCCTCCTGGATCTGACTCATTTGACATACACGTTTGTAATGGCTACTGCAGAACACAATGGTTACACCGAATCAAAGCACCTGGTTCGGAGTGGTGTCCTTGAGTAACTTCCACTCTTATTATGTCCTTTGGAATCTATTTCAAAAAGCATTTGAGAAAAATCAAGATTTTCAAACCACCCTTTTTAGCTTAGATATAAAATACCTGTTCCAAACGCTTCTGGAGTTCTGGGGAGAGATGTTTGCCTGGGCTCTTGTTCATGCTGATTACTTTGCAGGTCCTTCCCAGGGTGGGCCCGGCCCTCAGTATCCGAACTACCCCCAGGGCCAAGGGCAGCAGTACGGGGGGTACAGGCCGACGCAGCCCGGACCACCCCAGCCCCCGCAGCAGAGGCCTTACGGATACGAACAGGTGGGTGCTGGCCAGAGTGTGGCCGCGGCAGTGCCTGCACATCCTTGATTAGGTTAAACATTTTACTGGAAGCTCATTTTTCCTTCTGTTCATAGTACATGAGTTGACCAACAAAACCCTATTTCCTTTTAACTCTGTTTCATGGACTGCTAACAATGGGTGGGAATACTGTGACATGGAAGAGTCTTCTCTAGGCACAGCCTTTGTTCATATCCTCGTCCCCCGCTCGTACTCATCACCTTCTCCCCACCACACGCCCTTGCTATCCGTGGTCTCCCTCCGTAAGTTCTGTGTGTCACCGCCTCTGCCTCCGTCCGGCGCCTGTCCACGATCTCAGGCTCGGTGGCCTTTCTTCCCGCGCCTTTCCTTCCTCCGTCAAGCTGGAGGCGGCGTGGCTCTCACCCTGGCAGCCACTCCCCGAACCCGGGGTCTGTGTAGGTCCCTCTTCGCAGCAGTGCTGCTCAGCTCCACCTGTGCGTCTTACGCGGTGAATCTGCTCATACAGACGGAGTCACAGTAGCGAGGACTTACCGGGCTGCTGCTTCTGCAGGTGCGTTTCAGGTCCGGCACGGAGCTCCCCGCAGCAGGCGATGCTGCAGGGCCCGCTGCGGTTTGAGGAGCAGTTCGTATGGCGCTCCTGGCAGTGCCGGCGCGAGCCTTCCTCACTCAGCTGCTCAGGCCTCGGCCCCTGTGCCGGCACTTGCACTGAAGTGAGAGAGAGGGAACAGAGGCCCGAGAGGCTGGCACTGAGGAGAGGACACTAGATTCTCTCTTCTCACGATGGGCGTTGAGTGACTGTTGCTGAGCCTAACTGTGTATAGTACGTTAGTGACTTTTAAGCACTTCAATTCTGTTCATAGTGCAGTAATCCATTAGCTGTCTCGTGGCACTGAACAGCTTTCCAAGGAAATCCACCTCTGAGGAACGTAAGCTTGAGGTACGAGGTCTTGTGGGGCACAGGCATTTCAACTCCAGAATACTGGCTGGTTTAAGTAGTTCCTGGGACTTGGAGGGATCTGAGCAGGAGAAGCAATCAGCTGGTGATTTCCTTGCCAGTGAGTCTGTTTTTGGAAAACAGGTGCTTTTATGAGCACTTTAAACCATCTTAAGAAGTCTTTGTTGAAATACTAGTACATACTTCCTACTATGTTTCTCTTTCCTTTTACCTTTTTTCTTCTGTTTTACTTTCTTTTGAAAATCTAAACTTAGAAGTTGTATCCTGGACTCACCTGCCTGCACAGCGGGATTTGGCTGCATCCCCTCCTGCTGAGTATCTGTGCTCTCTCTCGCCTCTCAGCCAGCTGGCTTCCAAGTCCACTTTGCTAAACACAACAAAACAAATCAAACTTTTTTGGATTAAAAAAAAATAAATATTGTTCAGATGATTACAATTGTTCCTTTTTTCCCTCCATAGCTCCCCTCCATCCAGTTCCCACCCCACCCCACTGTCCTTATTCATAGGCGTACAATTTTTTGTCCAGTCTCTTCCCGCACCCCCATCCCCCTTTCCCCTCAAGAATTGTCAGTCCATTCCCTTTCTATGCCCCTGATTCTGTTCTATTCACCAGTTTATTCTGTTCATCAGGTTTTTTATTTATTTGATTTTTAGATTCACTTGTTGATAGATATGTATTTGTTCATAATTTTTATCTTTACATTTTTCTTCTTCCTCTTCTTAAAGAATGCCTTTCAGCATTTCATATAATACTGGTTTGGCGGTGATGAACTCCTTTAGCTTTTTCTTATCTGTGAAGCTCTTTATCTGACAAATATTCAGCAGGAGGGGATGCAGCCAAATCCCACCATGCAGGCAGATGAGTCCAGGATTCAACTGATAAGTTCAGGTTTTTAAAGAGAAAGTAAAACAGAAGAAAAAAGGTAAAAGAGAAACATACTAGAAAGAATATACTAGTATTTCGATTCTTAATGATAGCTTTAAAGGTAAAAGAAAAGAGAAACATACTATAAAGAATATACTACTATTTCACTTCTTAATGATAGCTTTGCTAGGTAGAGTAATCTTAGTTATAGGTTCTTGCTATTCATCACTTTGAATATTTCTTGCCAATAGTTTCTGTTGAGAAATCAGCTGACAATCGTATGGCTGCTCCCTTGTAGGTAATTAACTGTTGTTCCCTTGCTGCTTTTAATATTTTCTCTTTGTCTTTTGCTCTTGGCATTTTAATTAAGATGAGTCTTGGTGTGGTCCTCTTTGGACTCCTTTTGTTTGGGGTTCTCTGCACTTCCTGGACTTGTAAGTCTATTTCTTTCACCAGGTGGGGGAAATTTTCGGTCATCATTTCTTCAAATAGGTTTTCAGTATCTTGCTCTCTTTCTTCTTCTGGCACCCCCATAATTCTGATTTTGGTATGCTTGAAGTTGTCCCAGAGGCTCCTTAGACTATCTTCATATATTTGGATTCTTTTTTCTTTTCTGGTTGGGTGTTTTTTGCTTCTTTGTATTTCAAATCCTTGACTTGATTCTTGCGATCCTATAGTCTATTGTTAGATCTCTGTATAATATTTTTTTATTTCAGTCAGTGTATATTTAGTTTCTAGTTGGTCCTTTTTCATAACCTCAAGTGTCTCACTAAATTTATCTTCCTTTTCTAGAAAATTCTTGAAAAACCTTATAACCGTGGTTTTGAACTCTATATCCAGTAGTTTGCTTTCCTCCATTTCTTTCATTTGTGATCTGCTTCTTTGTCTCTGTATTTTGCCTGCTTTCCTGAGTTGATATAGTAGCGTTGTGTGCTAGGTGTCCTATAGGGCCCAGTGGCTCAGCCTCCCCAGTTACCTGAGATGGACACTCTTGGTGCACCCCTTTGTAGGCGGTGTGCACAATCTTATTGTAGTTAAGCTTGATTGTTGTTGGTATCACTGGGAGGAATTGACCTCCAGGACAATTGGCTATGAGGGTCAGCTGTGTCTACCATGGGAGAACTTCTGGGCTAGAGACACCCTTATGAGGCAAAACTTGCTTCAGTGGGGCTTTGGTGCTCACTGAGTGTGCCCCCTGAGTGTGTCCTTTATGGATCTGAGGAGTTGTAATCTGGATGGTCCTACTCTGACCCCTGGGTGCACTGGCTCTTGGATCTCCAAGGAGGTGCTAAGTTAGCCTCTGCCTGAGGCCACCCAGCAGGAGCTACAGAGAGATCTGCAGATTCCTCCTCTTTGTTTGGGGTTTGGAGGTGCCCAGATGAGGCCCAGCTGTGAAGCAGTGCAGGCTGCTGTGGGGCCTTGGGCTTTCTTTTGGATGTTCTGGGTCTCTCTGACTCAGCTGCAGTTTGTTAGGTAGGTTTATATTTCAAAGTACCAGGCAATTCATATGAAAAAGCCTCTGTGCACAGCTTGGATGGGGTGGAGTCTCAGGGCGGAACAAACAGCAATAGCTTCCCATCAGTCCTGCCCTAAGAGGCCCCTGGGTCTCAGTGTCCCTTGGTAATCTGTAAACACTGCAAGCACCTTTAAGAGAAGGCCGCCCTCGTGTTCTGCCAGAAGCCAGACAGTCCAGTTTCTCCCCATATGAGTCTGGTTCCCCAGAGTCTCGCCCAGAACTGGAGTTCAGAGCAGGTGGGAGCTTGTGTCTCCCTCCGGATTGAAAAAGCCAGCTGCGTACTCTGTTGCCAGCCCTTTCCGTGTGCCTCCGTACCTCTTCACTTTATTTTCGAAGCTCCTCTGAGTCTGAGTGTGCTTTTCTCTTCCCCTCTAGTTGTAGAATTTCCACTCAGCCAGCCTTCCTGTGTTTCTGGATGATGTTTTTTTTGTCTTTTAGTTGTGGTTTTGAAGTTGTTGTGTGAGGCAGCAGTTCAGGTGTTTACCTATGCTGCCATCTTAGTTTCTCTCCTTGCCTGCATTTTATAAACCAGCTGCCTCTCTGAAGTGCTTGGCCTCGTAGGAAGGCCCGTGTCTTTAGAAAGCTCTTTTTCCTTTCCCTCCAGATCTCCCTTCATCCTTGTACTTATCCCAAATATCTTCGATGTTAATTCGTAACAGTAATGATAATAAGCTAAATAGTCACAAAGTTATTCCACTAGCATCACATTTACATACTCAAATATATCACAGCAGAATTTAGAGCCAGAACTTGTTGTCCAAATTAGTCCTACAGGACTCACCAAACATTGAAACTTCCACTGTGTGATAGATACTGTTCTATGTTCAGAGGCTCTGAAATTCACTTGCAAGTGAATGTAATGTCAGAAGAAATTATAGAGGCCTATGTACCTAAATACTAGCAATTTTTGTTATGAATGCAATAGCTTTCATAACATGGCAATGCTAAGATTTATTTGTGATTTTCTTGCCGAAGTATTACCTAATTGTATTTTACAATTTATCTTTTAGGGACAGTATGGAAATTACCAGCAGTGAAGGCTCGCACATTCCAGTGACCACACCCGCCGGCAGCCACACCCGTGCGGCCCCTCCGGGAAGAGACCCTCCATTCCACCGTTTTTTGGAGAAGCCTTGGGCTCGGGCTGCTCCTCAGCCAGCAGCCGTGCGGCTTAGTTGTGTAAAAGGCTTTAGTAGCTCAAAAATACTCTTTAATCTCCCATTTCTACTCTAGATGGCAACATTGGACAGAAAATAGGCCGCAACCCATGTGCAGTGGTTTCGGGACTGTCTCAAACGGACTGTTACAGGCTGGACGGTGCGGGCAGCTTTGTATGTTCTGCAGGTTAAGGGAATTTAATACTTTTCCACAGATTCTTTTGTAAGGGGGGAGAGGGAAATGTACACTTTTTACAGTTAGCACTATTTTGTATATTATGTTTATTCCATGTGGTGAATGTGCCGAACAGTACACTGTGTGTGGGACAGAGTCAGCCATCCTGTCAGCGAGGGCTGGGCGTGTGGGCGCCTCATTGTGTTGGTCTCTGGTGAGGCTGCAGGTCCCATGGGGAAGCCACCTGCCGCCATGGTGCTCAGAGGAAGTCAGCTTCCTCACCTGACAGCTAATCCGGGGCACTGGGATGCAGTTTTGGGTAAAAAGACTTTTTTTTAAAGCTTTCCAGTTTTGTGGATTAAAATTTTTTATAACGATCACTTATAATACAGTTTTAAAATGTGAGGTAATAAGAATTACTTCACGTTGGATCTGAAGAATCTTGGTAAAGGGTTCAAGTAAATGAAATGGTAATCCTCTCCTAAAATAGCAGGAAGTGGAAGTGTTAATTTACCTTGTTAATCAGGGGAGTTAGTAATAGCAAAGCATTTTATACGCTATCAAGGAAAGGCCAACATTGATTCGGTCATTTTAACATCAGGTTAGATGGTTTATATACTAGGATAGTTCAAGAGACTTACAAACCTTTATTTCAACGTTCTTAACTGGAAATAGTATACATTTGTAAAGGGACATGAGTTTTCCCTTCTCATGTTGGTGAATATAACAGAGATGTTGCTGAGGCTCGCAGGACTATTGGAAGGACGGAGTGCGTCTGGGTCACTGTGCTCACTAGCAGGGCGTAGCCACCATGTGAGACGCTGGGCCTGGTCATTCAGCTCAGTGCAGGGACAGTGCCCGAGGCAGGAGGCCTGCATGGAGGGCTCCAAGCACAGCCACTCCGGCAGGTCTGAACGCATCCAGCCCAGAGGTAAGTGCCGTGCCCATCACGGCTGCCCAGGCCCAGGGGACAAGGCGTGCTCTTTGCCATTGACCGGGCTTCCCACTGCCCCGGAAAGGAAGCGGAGGGCCTGCCTTTCCCCTGAGTGAGGCAGAGCCGTGCCCAGCACACGGCCGTCGGAGAAGGACCTCCGGGTCTGTGTGCGAGAGGCGCGTGGGCCAAGGTCAGAGCAGGTCTCCCTCAGCGCGGTCAGCAGCAAGTGGACATGGAGTCTGAGCGACAGCGCGGCCGGCCGGCGGGGGGCATGCTGGCGGTTCTGTGCCAATTCCCACCACTGTGTACTCGGTTGCTATTTAAAACTGTACCAGCTCTAACGGAGGAATAAATTATTTGTGATTTTAATTTTCTCATTTGTTTCTTTAAATTAGATCTCTCTGACTGTTGTTTTGTCTGGAGACTCTGCTGTGGGTATTTTACAGAAGTGCGTCCAGTATAGCAGACTGGATTTGTATTCTAGGACTTGATCAAAATTCTCTTGCCATGCCCAAGTTAATTAGAATTAACTGTTCAGTAATCAGCATGTTGTGTGGGCTGTTTGTTACAGAATTCTTTCTCTGGAAATGAAGTCCATGCGGCTATCATCGGGATGACTGAATGAGATAAATGAGTGAACAGGCAAAACTGTACTCACCCAACCTGGTGCAGATACGTTATCTCATTTGAAGGAAGCTCAACTGACATTAAGAAATAATTTGTCTTGCCAGCCCATCTTCTGTTGTCTTATTCTCCTTTTAATGGAAACGAAAATTGCAATTTTAATAAGCAGAATTTCCTCCAGGACTCTCTTCCTGGAGACTAGTGCATTTGCAAGCTTTAATTGTTTTATAACAGTCTTATTTCGTAGAAGTTTTTAATTGGCGGTGACAAGAATTACCTTACTCCTTGGGTGCCGGGGAGGAAGAGCCGTACCAGTAGCTTTCTACTGCCCTTGACATTCCCGGATAGATAGTTCATTCTAAAACTGCAATTTGTATTTTATCAAAATGTGCGTTATTATAATGAAGAGATTATTAAAACAGCCCATAAAATTCCAGAAGCAAAATATCACTAAGAAATGCAGGGTGATTATTGATCGCCATTTAAAAATACTTCACTGTGTCAGTGTAGTTGCTTGAGAATACGTTAGTATTTTGTAGAGCTGTGGTGACACATCGGGGGTGTTTTTTGTTTTTTTTTAATTTTTTAATGGGAGTTTCAAAGAAAAAGCTAGGTGGAGGGGGTGGTAGAATGAGCCCAAGTACCAGTAACCCGACTTTCCACTTAACAGCTGCTGGCCAGTCTTGCATTGCCTCTGCTCACCCACCGACTGAAGAACACACCCTGTCCTTTGTTATTTCTGTAGGCATCTTTAAAAGATAAGACTCTTAAAAAACACCCTGGCACTTACAGACTCTTCCTGTTTCTGAAATTTTGTATTTTCAGTGTTAACATTGCTTTAGAAACAATCTCAGATATTGTATGAATCAATGTCTTTCAACTTATTCATGTTAAATAGGACATTAGCGAAATAGATTATACAGAAGGTGAACCTTCTCCCATCATTTCATATCTCAAAGGTAACAATTATTAAAGGCTTGATATGTTTCTTCCAATTTCATTTTACACATAAAAGCCAACATATATTATTGTCTTTTAAAATAAAAATAGAATTATACTACCCATACTACTTTGCAACTTCCTTTTTTTAAAGTTAGAAATATCTTAAATGTTCTTTATTCCTATATTATTGTTCCTATTTTTTTTTTTACTGCTGCAAAAACAACACTTTCCTAAGCTACCTGGCTAGGGTTTATTTTTATTTACTGACTTATTTTGGTATGCTTGTCGCAGTATTTCTATATGATACATTTCTGTTATGTTAGGAGTAGTGCTATATACATTTTTAAGTTTCCCTCTAAAAGATACATCCTTGCTAACACTATATTATTAGTTCTGTTATTTTTTCAATTCTTATAGGCTTTAAAAAACACTATTTCAGAATTTCATTTGGTTTATTTGTAAGTTTGAGCGTCTTTTCAAATGCTTAATGACACTTCATTATTTTTTGCCCTGAAATACATTCTGTTTTTCTATTGGAATGTTTATTGTCTCAGAGAGGGGAGACAGTGTAAGCACGCACACACACACACACACACACACACACACACATATAGTTGTATGTGGTTTTCTCTACATGCACAGCAGTTCCTATCTCTTCTGGGTATTGCATATGTGTTCAGTCTGTTCATTATTTTTAACTTCGGCTGAGATGTTTATCACTGTTAAAGTTTTAAGATTTTATGTAGTCAATTTCTTGTTGCAGCCTCCCTAGTTTTACATGTGTAAAAATATTTTCATATTTGCTTATATTTAAAAAAAAATTCATTGTACCGGGTATGGTTTAGAGCACTAACTTTTCCCCTAAATGGATAGAATGGTTTCATAGCATTATGAATAAAGCAAGGATTAGGAATGCCACCTTATTTATTTAAAACATCAGTTCGGTGAAGGCCTGTCTGACAGCCGTTCTAAAGACTAGCTGGATCCATTTAAGTAGAACTTCATCTGATTGGCACAAAGGTGTGTGCCCCTCCCCAACAAGGTGTTTTTTATTAGATAAGAGCTAATTACAAAAAGTCTGAACAGCGACCGGCTTCCTAATAGAGAAGGATTGAAATGTGTAATTTTATGCAGCACGCCCAGAACATCTTGGAGCTCGTTGTTTCTTGACTATGTCAAGCCTCCCTCTCCCCTTCCCCTCAGCTTGGACGAGAGAACCAGCCTGTGGGCTCGGGTGTTATAGTAACAAAGACTCTGCTTGGGGGCCCGGCCACCGCCCGGGATATGCTGCACATGGGGTTCCCCTGCCCGGACATGCTCTACACGGGGTCCCACCGCCCCGGACATGCTGACCACACTCACCCTACTGTCCACGGAGCTCCGCTCTCCATGGAGCCTCGCTCTCCACACTCCCTGCTGTCCACGCTCGCCCCGCCCTCCACGGAAGTCCAGTGGCTTCCTTTCCTTTCCTCCCCAGGACCTCGCTTCCCGGCCAGCATGCGTCCGCCCAGCCCCACGTGGCTGCTGTCCTCCCTCCGGCATGGACACGGCGTTGTGGAAACGCACGGATGTCCATTACCCGCTCCCAAGGGTGACCCTCTAAACCAGCAGGCGTCCCCTCACTCAGGCTCCCGGCCACTCTGAGCGCCATGCATCCTCCGCGCCCCCAAAAGCATGGGGAGTGTAGTCCTGAATCCCATGAGAAGGAATTCCAAGCTGCACATCAATGTCACTTCGCTCTCGTTCTTTGAAGGGAAGCCCACCTGTGATTGAATGGCTTTGGCCGTTACTTGTCTGTTGGAAGAGAACAGTCTACGTGAATCATTTGTATCACGGAAAATGTGTCTTTTTCACTTACAATTTTCTTTGGAAATAGAAAAGGGGCAAGGAGGTGGGCCACGTAAGACCAGAAAGAACGTATGGTCTGTGTTTTTGTTGTTTTGGTGTGTGTGTGTGTGTGTGTGTGTGTGTGTGTGTGTGAGAACATCCCATGGAGACTTCGGGCCAAGAAGGCATCTCACGCTGGGATGTGCCCTCTCTGCACACATGCTGCTGCTACAGATCAAGCAGACGTGGGCCGAGCCACAGGCACCGTCGCAAACACCTGATCGTCTCTGGGACAAACGAGCCAACATGTAAATGGGGGCGAGGCTGTGACTGGGCCGTCGGGGCTCTCGGTCCAGAAGCTGGTGGTGGCGCTCGAGGGATGGGCTTCTACAATAGAAGGAGCAGAACCGGAAGCATTCGGCAGGATGGGGCGCTGGAGGCCAGACCGCGACCCCCCCATCGTTCCCACTCTGGAAGGCAACTAAGCTGGCTCCGGCTGCCCGCTCCCGGGTGCTGTGAGGACGCTGAGGGGGAGATGTGGAAGGCGCCTCACCATCGGAGCCGCACCAGGGCCTGCTGCTGGTGACGGTCGGTCGGTCGGTCGGTCGTGCACATCGCTGAATGCCGCGCAGGGAGGGGGTCCTCCAGGTCTTGATTCTGGGCGTGACGTGAGGGCCGGGGGCAAGAGGAAAAGGAAGGATGGGAAGAGGAGAAAGGAAAAGACCAGTAAGACCTCTTCCTCTACACCCATGAACTAAAATGTCAAAATACATCAACAAAATTATATGACAGAACTTATTTCTACCACTTAAAATTCTACAGGACAGTGACATTTAAAACTGAATGCTCAAGGAAATAAATTCATTGGTTTACATAGATTCTCAAATAGATATGCAATGAAAACATGAAGTGAAGCAAGTACAAAAATGTTTGAGAAATCTTAACTAGTGAAAAATAGAGTAATTGAAACATGCTTAATTGGCATAAACTAGGCTGGGCACAGGGGAAGACATGTGAATGAGATGGCAGTCTGAAAAACTGTAAATTGTGAACATTTAAGAGGTAAGAAAAGCTCCAGAAGAAGGAAAAGGAGGGATTGGCAGAAAAGGAATGAGAGAGAGAGAGAGAGACAGGAGAAAAGAGAAAAGGAGAGGGGAAGGAAGGGCAGGGGAGGAGCAGAGAAAAGCTGACAGTTTTCCGCAGCGGAATCTATGAATACTCAGATAGTAAATTCACCCTAAACCCAATCAGGGCAGAGAAAAACGAATCTGCCTCAGATACACTGTGATGGTGTTTGAAAGAAGCAATCTAAAAACTACCTGGGAGAACAGGCACGTTACCTGTAGAGAAATACAGTGCAGACGGGGATTTTCTGCAACAAAGGAAAGTACAGGATTGAAGTACTGAGGGAAAATGAGTCACTCTAAAGGTTACACCCGCTGAACTATTTCTATAGTGTGTGTGTGTGTGTGTGGGGGGGAATAAAACATTTTCCCACAGAGGAAGACCAGCTGAGCTCCTCACCCACTGATGTGTCAGAAAACAAGAATCCAAGACGGACTGCAAGGTGCATAAAGCAGGAGACATTACAGCCCAGCTGGCATGGCTCAGTGGTTGAGTGTCAACTTTGAACCAGGAGGTCACAGTTCCATTCCCGCTCAGGGCACATGCCCACGCTGCAGGTTCCATCCCCAGTGTGGGGCGTGTAGGAGCTAGGCAATCAATGATTCTCTCTCATCATTGATGTTTCGGACTCCCTCCCTCCCTGAAATCAATAAAAACATAAAAAAGAATACATAAGATCCTATATAATAAAAGCCTAATATGCTAAGTGTCTGGTCATCCAGTTGTCCGTTCAACCAATCAAAGTGTAATATGCCTGTGATATGCTAACACCACTCAACTGCTTGCTGTGACGTGCACTGACCACCAGGGGCAGACACTCTGACCAGTAGGTTAGCTTGCTGCTGGGGTCC